CCATATTTAAACTTCATCTGTACTCAAAGATTTGTTCCGAATTACGGGGCCCCAGAAACAAATTCACTTCAATTAAATTCTTTTGGATCGTTTTTTAGATTCGATTTCAAAACTTACGTGTTTGGTTGATTGGTTGAGGTGGTTGGAGTTTTGAATTTCACTATCATTGTGAATTTCACTAAAAAAGAGTTTGATAACCGTGCATTTTATTTGAAGGGATAAAATGTTCACTTAATTTAAAAACTAATTACTAGTAATTAACTCATACTAATTTTTTTAATTGTTACCCTTTTCAAAAAAAAAATTCTTTTAATCCTATTTGCTTGTATTTTTTATAAAATTTTGTTAATGTGTTATAAAGGTATAAATTAAAAATATAATTAATATATTTTTTAATTATTTTGTTTGAACAAATTCGCAAGGACGAATTCGAACCAATTTTAGAAGTGAGATAATGCATTTACACGTGATCTGACGTCACTGGACACGAAAGCCTAAGTGTATATATTTTTTAATTATTAATTTACATAAAAATAAAAAATTAATATTAATTTTAATATCAATATTACATATTTTAATTTAATTGATTAGTTTTTAAATTTAAAATCAAATTTAATTTTTTATGTAATTTAATAAAAAATACAGTAATTAATTTTATAATATGTATTCTTAAAATACAAATTAAAATATATTTTGATTACCTCAATGATTAAATTTATTGACAAGCCTTAAATTTTGGATTTCTGTTTTCAAGTTAATATTTAAAAGAATTTAATTTTTTAAAATATACAAACTGCTATTGATGGCTGAGTGAGTGAGGTTATTATTACACTTAAAATTATGAACTGACATATTTACTCATAATATAAAAAAAAAAATTTTCTTTTCAAAACTGCGCCTTTTACTCTCTTAATCCTTGCCGCTGTAGCCCTATTTCTATTTCATCTTTTAATTGCCGCACATTCCCTCCCATCCTGTTCATTTGTTTTCAAAGCCATCTTGTCTCGATTTGTGGTAAGCCATCCTCCTTGGATTAATTCATAGCCGTCCTCTTCTGTTTTTCTTCTTCTTTTTTCTTTTTTAATTCATAGCCGTCCTCTTCTGTTTTTCTTCTTCTTTTTTCTTTTTATATACGTTGCTAAATTTTTATTTTTTTATGAGTTTTTTAATATATATATAGTTGGATTTTTATTTTATTGTTAAAATTATTATTTTATCTTTCAAATTAATTGTTGCATTGATCTAATATAAAATTTCGAGAGATAAATACAAATCATTAAAGTGCTAAATAATTTGAAGAAAATAAAATGTCTTAGTTGAACAAATCATTTGAAACTCATTATGATCACCTTCAAAACATGAAAAGATTTTATTTAAAGAATAAATAAACAACAACCATAAAGAAATCTAAAGAAAAATGACTTGATTATTCTATAGAAAAAATAACTCTTTTATTATTTTCATTATTAATTGTGATTAAGATTGATTTGATTTAAAATTTATATTTTTTTATTTTTTATGTCAAAATAACTTGGTTATTCTAAAAAAAAGAAAAATAAAGTCAAATTTATTTTTGGAAAGGGATAAGTATGGACTGAAAAGAGGGTTGCAGTAGTAAAGGTTAAGAGAAATAAAAAAGGATAGTTTTGAAAAGAGAAAAACATTATTTTTAAAATTATGGGTAAATATATCTATCTATGTTTTTAAGTGTAATATTATCAAAATAAAATGTAACAATAATATCACTCTTAATAAGCATTCTGAAAGTAACTCATAAAATCCTTAAATAAAATAAATTATTAACTATTACCTTTTTACTTTAACAATGTGAAATTTTTTTTGAAAAAAAAAAAAGAGAGACTTGAAATTCGATTTTAAATTTTTTAGTTCTAAACACGTCTTACAAGGGTGGTCATTGGACCAACAAGTGGTGTACTATTAACTATTACTTTTAATGTTAAGTATTAATTTTAAACTGATATATCACCTTTACACACCAGCCTCTCATTGTCAGATTAAAATCAAAACACCTTCACTGATAAAAGAAAAAAAATGGTGCTTTGATTGGGTGGCGACAGAGAATCTAATCTAATGATTCTTCTAGCCAGAGGCGACTAGCCAAAGGCGACAATTGTTGAACTTGGAAAGAGTAAAATATTTAGGTGAGGAAAGGGAATAAAGCTGTAAACAAGGATTTTAATTTTATATTTTTTTATTTAAAAATGTTAATTTTATCAATTTTTAAATAATGATGTTAATTTTTATTTTTTTTTAAAATAAAAGTATTAATTTTGTCAGTTTCTAAATAAAAATGTCAACTTTTAACATTTTTTATTTAAGGATGTCAACTTCAACTTTTTCTATTTAAAGATTAATTGAATAGTGATTTCACGTGGCTAACATATTTTTTAAGTTAAATATTTGAATTGGTCTCTCAACTTTTATTTTTGAACCAATTCATCCTTGAACTTCAAAAAGTACCAAAAACATCCTTCAACTTTAATTTTCAATTAATAAAATTATTTCTTAATTCATGGAAGAATTAATTAAATTTTATTTAATTTTATTAAATGGTAGGTGGGAGTAATTAAATGGGAAAATATATTAATTGTTTTAATTTTTAAATATAAATAAAATAAAATAAAGAATTAAAGTAGTTTGTAAATTATTTAAAATTAAAAAAATCCACATAATCATCTTTTACATGATGAATTTTCCACCTAATATTGAAAATATAAAATAGTCAATCACTTAGCGAAAAAATTAGCTACATTAACATTTAACTGACGGAAAGACGAAATTAAAAATTGAAGTTGAAGGACGTTTTTGGTACTTTCTAAAGTTCAAAGATGAATTGGTTCAAAAATAAAAGTTGAGGGACCAATTTAGACATTTAACCTAAAAAAATATGTTAACCATGTCAACATCACTATTTAATTAATCCTTAAATAAAAAATATTGAAAATTAACATCTTTAAATAAAAAATATTAAAATTAACATTTTTATTTAAAAA